CTGAACCGAAGGAGGATGCTGCAACATTCAGCACTGTTGTAACGGATTCACTGAGGCGGAGACCTCCTTCCAAAATGCTTTGAAGAACAAGTATCTTGAAGAGACTTTCATAAGGAAAGGAAGGAGAAAAAAAAAAAAAAAAAAGAATATAAAAGAAAGGTAGTGGAGAATGCAGAGAAGAAAGAAGATTGCTTGTAGTAAAACACCCTATTTGGCAAGCAATTCACTTCCTTTCTGACCAACACCTTAAGCCAAGCAGTATGAACCAGCTGAAGACTTAAGAGATGAAAAGAATTTGGAAGTGAATTGGAAAAATCTGGCAACACCCACAATCTAAACCTTTTTCAAGATGCTATGTCAAAGCACGAACATTTGCCAGACGAACAGAGGGAAGCTTAGCAAATCTTGAAAAGCAAGACTTGTGCGAAAGATCAGTTTTGCCGCAGCTGTGGGTACACTTCTTAATAACAGAAATCAAAGACAAACTGAAGTGCTTGTCTTGGTCACCTGGTCTGACCTTTGGGTTGCTGATTAAGCGCCCAGAACTGGACAGATTTTTTTTTTAATTTAAGAGGCGTGAAATTTTCCAGATGGGAACCAAAAGACCCAGCTTTGTTGTGATTGTAAGTTACACAGAGGAGGGGGAAAAAGGTGACTTTTTTTGACCCACGTGTTTACCCAGGACACATGCCAGAATGTTACTGCTGAGGCTGGGTACTCAAAATCCCGTTCTTAAGGCCACAGCAGGTCTGTACTGACGTGAAAGTGAGGAGATATTTTCTGGTTCTGCAAAACCATTCCTCCAACCAGCTCAAAGTACTTTGTAGAAATATTTCTTATAACATAAAAGTTTATTAATAACTCACAGATGGCAGTGTTCCCACTCAGTCTGCCAGGTCATGACTTCAGATTGCAGAGGCAGAACCAAGTAAAGGCAAAAGAAGTTAATTATGCTTTATTGAAACCATGCTGTAGTAAAGAACTACGGTTTATCCAGGAAATATTTTATTTATTGCTTCCTAATCATAACTATTTCACTCAGGGGAAAGTGTTGGGGGTGGGCAATGAGTCTACACTAGATGGGTTAGATTTATTTCCTCCTTCATGTCACACCTGGTTAGTTTTCCTCTGTAAGTGCAGGAAACACACCACTCAATCCAAACTTCCTCTTACAGTTAAAAAAAGCATACATGTACAGTCTCATGCCAGAACACCAGCGTTCAGTTTGCTCACAAGACTGTAACATTTCTACTGGTGAAGTCTTACCGGTATTTGCTGGATTTCTCCTGTATTGGTGATGATCTGCTGCATGACTTGCATGGTCTGCCCAGTTCCACTCTGAGCCTGCTGGGTCTGTCCTTGCGGCTGGGCCTGCACTATCTGTACCTGCTGGCCTTCTCCAACCTGCATCGTCACGGGGGTGCTCTGCATTCAAAACAGGGATAAGGACCAAGCAAGGATTGAACACAGGTGAAACAGCCACAAGGTACAGAGACTGTAATAGACAGACTGCTTCCTACACCCACCATTACTTGCTGATGCTTACATCGCCACGAAGGGGACCCAGGACCTAGATGACCCTTGTTACTAAGGTATGTGAACACCCGGTCATGATCAGAAAACACATTTCTATATTGTTATTGACTGTTCCAAGCAGCGAGAACAGGATACTGCGACGCATTACACACGGGCAAGCGGGGTGTTTCACTGGCTCCACTGAACCGCAAAGCCCTTGAACGCTGCTCGTCGCTCACCTGCCCTTGCTGAGGCTGGGCGATGATGATCTGTCCTGGCTGGATAGTAGTTGTAGACGTGGTGGTCTGTTGTCCTTGCTGTTGCCCCTGAACCTGCACCGCAGCAGGCTGCTGAGCAAGCGTGAAATAATACTGTACAGGCTCGGCTGGGGTCACAGCCTGACGCACCTCTTCCTGCAGCACAGGTAAAGGACAGGTAAATGGGGAGGGAACAAATCAATGTCCAAACACCCCAACCACAGCTCAAACATCCCCCCCATAAGCATGCTCCATGGGAAAGTATCTTTAATACCTCGTTCGCAACAGCTTACCTAAGTAAATCTGAAATGATAAATCAAAACGTGTTTCCTCATTTATTCAGCTATATGGAAATCCAAAACATCTCCAATACCCTACATATAATAATGTAGTCGCCAATTTCATTATGAGAAGCAAATGAATAAAATTACCATAGTTGAAAACCACGCAACTCCTCATCAGTAAATTCCATCGTCGCCTGTTATCTTAACACAGAATGAATTGCAAATGCACCAGGAAGACTTACAAAGCCTCATCTGTCAACAAAACCCTCTTCTTGGCCTACGTACCCAACACAAATCTCAATCTAGCTCCGATGTTAAACCCCTGGGAATAAAAGTCAGGGACTCGATGCGCCTTTATTTATTTATTTAAATCCAGCTTTTCCAGAATTATAACAATTTCATCTGGTACTGCGGCTTAACAGCCGGATCCTGCTGGTAGCAGGAATATCTCAACAGTGTGAAGAAACAAAAGCTCTGCTCTAGCTCACTGTCAGAAGCACAGGCTGTGATACTGCTGTTTCGTTTTATCTAAGCATGTCTTTAGAAGAGGAAAGCCCCTTATGATTAATGATATTTTAGGCAAAGAAGTAGATTTGCAGAGATTATGTTAAGTGGCAAGCCGTTAACACTCAAGAATCAAAATTCTTAGGCTCCCCAGAGGAGCAGTCGGATCTTGCACCTTACGGAAGATGCAGCTCACCAGATGTTCACTCCATGGCAGAAGGCGTAAACAATCCTCTCCCAGCCACCTCGAGTTCACAGCTGAGAGTGTAGGATGTTTACACGTGCTACAACATGGTAGATTCCCACTTACACAAGTCTGCTTGACTCCCCTGCATTAAATGAGGCTTGCTCATGGACTACCTTCAGTGCATCCAACTGAACAGGAGAAGAAAAAAATCACATTAAACAAGATCAATATATGTTGTCTAGGTAGGCATCAGGCTTGAGTAAGAGGGCACTTCTGCTCAGATGCTAGTCTCTGGGAGGGACAGCAACTAAAGAAAAGACTTACTATTGGGAGGTTTCTCAATAGCCTACCAGAAAACTACCCCCCAAAGATTCAGCTGTTCACAGTTGGCTGTAACCAAGAAGCAACTTCTAAGCCCGGCTCTTGGAGCAAACACTGGCACTATCCCACGGTACTGCAAACCACTGCAATCAAATACTTACAGTACTTCCTCCACATGGTAGTTCACTGATTATTCCTACTCGCTTAATCAAATCCTTTGGGGGAGGGATTAATAAAAAATTTAAAATATATATTCAACAGGACATGTCTTCAGTTAACCATAAAACCGCACGCATAGAAGAGCTGCGGCTGTTTCTGTGAAGCTCAGTCCTTAGATAAGTTATTTCTAGAGCACTCCAATCCTCAATTCCTAACTGAATCCTGCAACAATTAAGGCCACTGAGTACTTCTGTAAGTATCTATTCCAGGTTAAGTTGCATTTGCTACAGGCAAAAATGGCTTTAAATCCAAATCTGCTTGAACAAGGTTGTATCACATCGTTTGCCATCTTTTATTTTCAAGCCGTAGCTTTAGTTACCAGAGCAACATAACAGTCATGGTTTCATTCCCAGCTCTTCCACGTAACCAACAGTAACTTGTCAAACAGCCTTTTCTGTGGCAGAGAGAAAACACAGATTGTACCCCCAGCCAAAAAGTGCAGGCTGTCAGCCTACAGGCAGCCACTTTTCAACACTGCTGAATCAAAGGAGTATTTTCCACTGCAAAGTCCTACGTTCTTATCGGGCAGCTATTTCTCCAATAAACTTCTCTTGCCATAAGAAGTATTTCTAGCGATTCAGCAGTGTTCACAAGCAGTGGATGTATCGGTGAGAGACAGATCTCTAAAGCCTATTTCAAACCAAAACCCGACAGGGTTTCACTGCCGATGGCGTGCAATCCAGAAGACACAGCTCTGCTGTGATGTATCATCAAGACACATTGACCTAGCAACCTATATTGCATCTAACGCACTACTAAGATACTTCAGGCATTCATTTGATTATAGAACTTGAATGTTCTGTAATCAGAACGTTCTGATGTGAATCAAAAGGCTCCAGCAAGGAAAAGATATGGGCTATGTTCTCGCTCCCAAACATGGAGTACATCTAAAAATAGCACTACAAAGTAGAATAACTGAATGAGGCACCTAAAAGAACTGAATTTGCAATGCCAGAATTAAGCTGTGTTACCTCAGGCTGCAGCCAACTCATTTCAGCTCATCAAGCTGAACAAACTCTAGACGTGGGTTTTCCTTCCCCCGGTTAAGCAAAGCAGCTGTGCAGGTTGCTGCTTTGTCTTTTTATTTAATACTGAACTAATGATCTTTGGATAAATCACCTCTGCTGCAGGGATAAAGCAGGGACCTCCGTGAAGGAATGGAAGGAGCTGTGCCACGCTCATCGTGTCTACAGAATATGGCTCCCAACGCACCTGTAATGAAGCCTTGGGATGCTGCCAATTTTAACCATAGCTAACTGCAGCAGTAGGATGGACTCTCCTGCATGTATTGTGACTTGTAAAGGTATTTTTCTCTTTTACTGGAAAGTCATGCTGCTTCCGTGAATCAGAATGTGAGGTTAAACTCAACTCAGGACATCATCAGAAAGGATGAAGCGTGTATTTCCTCCCTTTGGCCATCACTTCAGTAGCACCACGAGGACTTCAAGACAAAAAGTAAAATAGCAACCTCCAAAATCCAGGTCCACAATGGAACCGCTGGACTCTACACTCAAAGTAGGTATCTTTTTGCATGTTATTCAGATTTATATTGGAATAAGAAATAAAACAAACCCACGTCAAAGAAAAACTTCCAAGCAAAACACTTGCCAGAAAGATGTTTTAAAGTATGCCAAACTCTCCAGTAGCACTCACTAGAGAAGCTATTTTAAGGACCACCTTGGATTTTTTCAAAGGCTAACACACTGCAGATGTCAAAAGTACCAGAAAACCACTTGAAGGAATTGTTATAAATTGTTATAAACTACTGAAATTTACTGCTCAGAGAAGAAATTGGTCCAGTTAAGTCCTGAGCAATGATTCCAGGAGTTGCTGAACAAGGTGAGCACTATCCGAACAGAGCTCTTCCCTAGAAGAGGTGTACCGATGGTAGCGCAGCCATTTTATCTACCAGGCAACTTGTAACGAAGAGAGATTAGCAATTACTGAACTTCTAGCAGCAAAACACCAACTGTTTAGGTGAAGGAGATAAATTAGTCTACCAGGAGCTGGATCTGTTTCTTTGTGCATTTGAAGCAGCAAGACTGAGCTTCAACCCCACCTCACTGCATTTTCAGCACCGCCTCAAACATGGAGGGAAACAAGTGCTTTGTAAAACACGAGCCTGTTAAAAGTTTCAAAGATCTTGTGCTCAGATGACTGCAGCAGCCTGCTGCTGTAAACATCCGACTGAAAGCTCCTTCTAACACCTTACAGCTTCCAGTCAAGGATGTTTACAGTAGCAAGGACTGCCCCAAAGGATGCAGGAGGTGGTACTGCTAAGCAAAGAAGTCTGTTTCTCCCTTTACCAGTCAAAGGATACAGACTCAGCACACTTTTTAAAGTTAAGTTTTTAACATTGGCAACATTTGGTATCAGAGCTATGTAGTAATGTTTTTGTCACTTAAGTAAATCCCCAAGTCAGACTTCTCTAAATCTCCACTCAAGCTCTACTTCCATTTTAAAAAAAAAATCTAGCGCACCTGAAAACTACTGTAAATAAATATGCAAGAGACAGAGGCACAAACCTCATGTTTCAATCTGATTCTGCATTGCTTTTTCAACTCTCTGTCAATGAGAGACTGAAATCACACCAAGGAAAGGACAGATAATAAGGCAATCATTTTTATGTCTCACCTGCCGCTTTGGAGGCTTCAGTTCATCTCTTGGAACAATATCGATAAGAAAGTCAAATTGATCGAACTTTGTAATTGCCATGGCAATGTCATTCCTCTATAACAACAAAAAGAGAAAACCATTCTTCAGTTTTAGAAGTCTGTTTTGTCACTGGGTAAACAAAGTAAGAGATTTTTAACTGAGTCAAGTGAGAGTGTCTTCTCCAGATCCCAAGTGGTCAAGCCAGGTGGCGAGAACTTCTGTTTCAGCACTGACAACACTGTCTCGTGCTGAGCGAGACCTCCAAGATGTGCAATTAGAAGGCACTTATCAAACTCAGGCTTTTATAGCCATCTACTCACCCACCAGGCCTAATCACAATGGTAGAGCTGTAATTCGCTACAGAGGGCTCATGACAACTGCCATAAGCCTTTTAGCACATTAAAAAAAGCGGATTCTTCTAAAAAATAATTTTAAAAATCCCAAAGATCTCCAAAAAGAAGCTTTGCAGAAAGACCAGGATGATTGCTCCATGTATTAGTAGCAACATATGTAGAATCTATGAGTTGGGGATGGGATTAAAAAAAAAAAAGAAAAAGAAAAAATAAAGTATCACAGGATCTTATTCAGGGCAGGGGAATCCCAAGAGATGTTGAGAGAACAAGCTTCAGCATGTGGAAGGGCAAAATGGTTAAAAGAAAGCATGAAGATTAAAACATATACTCAGCAAACTGGCCAAACGTGTATCAGAAAAAAGGATTTGCAAGAGGCAACGAGCTTCTACGAAAAACTGGCAAGGTAAGTATCCTCTCAAAATGACTTATAACTTTTATACCTTGCCTGAAAAAGAAATCCAAAGAATAGCATTATGTCAAAGCATTAAGGACCCGAATAAAGAGTTACCCAGCAGTAAGTCATCACTTAAATGTATTTGCTTGAGATTTGATTTGAAACAACCCCCAAGATTTAAAAAAAAAAAAAAAAAGTGCTCTGTCATTTTAAAATTCTTGCAAGCCATCCTAAAAAGTAGGGCTAATCCAAGAAGCTATTTGAAGTCTCATTCTCATTAACTGAAGATAAATTCGTAAAGCATATATATGAACAAGATCTGAGGCAAAGATGCCTACGCTGCCTACTGAGGAGGTAAAATTTAAGACGATCAATCCTCTCATTTCAGGCTAGTTGACATTCTAAACCTTATACTGTCTTGGCATTTAATTGCCAAACAATGATCATGTAGAAAGCACAAGAGACATTTCTTTTGTTCTGCAGGCAGCAGGTATTATAGAAGTATTTTCACCAGGAATAAAACTTTTACTCAACAGATGTATCTCATATTTCATTCTCCATGCTGAGGATTGGGTTCAATCCAATTTCCTCAGGAATAGACTTCCATAACTCAGACCTCTCCACTCGAAATTTTCTTCCCAAATACTTGATAAGCAGAGACTGCATTTCTCCAGCTGCACTGTCCATGCGGAGAGCAGCTGTTCCAGGATGGCAGCTGCTGTGGAAGGCAAGGCAGTCAGAAATAAAACCTGAGTCAAGGTCTTATACATTAGGATCAGGATTTAAGTATGATTCTGAAATAAACGGATCCATCCAAGCTTGAAAACTGTTAAACAGGACACGCCTGAGTCAGCACTTGTACTTACAGAGCATCTTGTTCATGGAATGTATATCAAATATATCCTTCCCACAGTAACTGCATTAAAACCTGGGTTAAGCAAGTAGCATTAGCCCAATTTACTGGCAACTGAGTGGCTGGATGCCCATTCAATGGGAGAGCTTTGGACTGCAATCAGACATGTCTCCTTGCCACTACAGTGGTCTCTGCGCCAGGGTACAGGAGAGCTGACACGGTCCTAAATATCACAACCTCTCACCTCTGATCTGAGGGCCTGAACTGATGGTAATTACAGCTTCAAGTAGTTCTGGTCAACATGTAAGACTAAGAGTGAATGCCTTCCCCCCGCTGCCATGAAATGACCCTAAAGAGTAACAGTTTACTCTTGAACCACTAAAAAAAAATGACTATTATTGAAGGCCTCTTAATCCAGAAGAAAGAGTAATCTGTTCTGAAGGAGGGTATTTTTGTTTTCATCTCTACGCGTTTATTGACACAAACTAACATCTACAAGCTTACATTAGAACTACTACTGAAAAACAAATCGGCTAGAAGGATAGCTGTAGCTGTTCAACCGAGTCATTAGAGCAGGTCAGAGTTAGCTGACAGCTGCAGCTTGCTTTCTTGAGTGGTGGTTTGTGGGTTGTTTTTTTTTAAAACAAATTAAGAAAAAAGCATTTCAGTTGCACAGTTACACTGGGCACCGTGCTTTGTACACAGGTTTGTAGCGATAAACACAGGTACTAAAGTTACTGTCTACAAAACATGCCTCATATTATGGAAACAAAGAGTTGGAAACAAGTTTATGAAGCAGCTGAAGGCTAGGTAGGAGCAGCTCCCTTACCTGCAGAGTCCTGCGCTTGTTATCTTCTGTGTGTATCCATGCTCGCAAAGTCAATTCTGTTATGAATATCTGAGCTGCCTTGGCAAACAGCACAGGAGCTTCTGCACTAATCATCTGCAATTAAATTTACAATTTTTTTTTTTTAAGTTTACCATTAGCATTCTAATACTGTGAAGTGGTAGTCAGAGTAACTTTATCATGTTAGTCAAATCTGAATGGTTACATACAGTGAAGTTGGGGGAATTTCCACATCAGGATGTCTACGGGTCTGACAGCCCAGAGGGCTACCAGCCTCAAGTTAAACACAGTGTTAAGAGTATTGGGCATCTAAAATTTGTCTCAGAAGTCTGTTTCCTCCATGACTAGTCGGATGTCAACTCCGTATCATGCTGGATTATGGTAGGGCAGCAAATGGCATCAGCGCACGTTCACCCAGAGGGTGTCAGCCAGCAGCTTCTCCTGGCACTGCCTTGGCATCTGCATAAATGATTTGGGAACCGAAGAGGACAGGTTGAGAGCTTATTTTAAAACTTGGCCTTTATAGTTGTAACATTTATATAATTTGAAGTGAATGGTGAAATTGCAAAGGAGCTTTGGAGGCCTGAGTAAAAACTCTGCCTCACCAAATTCCTTTTCCTTAAAAAGTATCTAGCTCAACTTTTACTCAAATTAAGCAGTTTCATTATTAGCTGGCTTGGCATTAATGCTTGCTCCTAGTACAGTCTTGTCATTAAATAACGTTCCAGGCAGGCCAGAGACTTCCCCCCGATCCCGTCCTGCCCTGAAAATCTCATCTTCCCCTTCATCATCAAAAGTTTGGCACTCATCCTGTTCAGACACTGAACTGGGACCTCAGAGGCCTGGGTTCATTCCCTTTCCAGGCTGAATGAATAGCTCCCTTGTGTAGGAAGACAACACACACCTTTCTCGGGATCTCATTTCAATGTTAAAGGTTGTCCTAACAGAAGGATGGTGTCACATTGAGAAAAACAAGAAGAAAGTGCAAACCATTTTCTTTTCTCTTAGGAGTTAAGTGTCTGACAGTTTTCCAACTTAAAAAACAGGGAGGACTGGAGCAGCCCAAGAGCCAAACCCTGCAGGTGATTCCTTTCTCCTTCCTTTCACGTCAGTAAGTTTTCATCAGTCAATTCATGTCTTGTCGTCACACGTCAAGCGTTCAGCTCAAATACTGGTATCAAACCCATGTTATCCACCTGAATTATTACTTATTTTCTCCATAAAACTTGAAACAGCGTAGCACACATTTAAGTGCTACCACTCTTCGTACTAAACACTATAGCTTTGTGAAAGGAAGAGTCAAGAGAAACAAGGAGGAAACATGAGAAAAGACAGTTGAGCACTAGAAAAAACAGGAAATATCCAGAATTATACAGTAGACTGGTATTTACCAGAAGAAAGCAAAACTGCAAAAGCCTTCAACAAAGATCCCAAATGATTTTGCTTTCTCAGCTCAGTTTAATTATACAAGGCCAGCTACTATTGCCTTCAAGGCAACTGTTAAAATGTGCTTTAAAAATAGTAATAAATAATGGTAATAAGAAGTAATGAATTGCAAGGAATTATAGCTACAATATCCCCCAAAAGGATCATAAATACTTAAGAAAAAAACCCCACGAGTGTACCTTCACATCTTCGTCTAGTTTCATTATCTTCTTAATACGAGCCAGAGGGAGTTCTTGAACTCTGAAGTCTTTCTGCAGAGAGATTCACATTTGAGAGACTCTTTACTGATACTTAACTGAAAACAAGGGTAAGATAAGAAATGTTAAAACAAATCTGTATTGTCTAGAACTAAACTGGCTCAAGTTAGCTTTATAAAAATAACTTACTTTCTTTGAGGTAAGGCAGCGTCTCCTCAGGCCCTAGAAGTCTCATCTGCTTTTCTCTATTTTATACTGATGTAATTCTACTTAAATCTTCTGTCAGACACTTGTATCTACTATTTCACCTCAAAGCTGAAGTCATTCTGCAGAACAGAATGTTTCTAACGGTACACATTTCTGCATCTATTTATATTTGAAGTACCTAATTCAATTAGGTGTCTCGGGTCCCAGAAACTATTGGAATTCGCAAAAAGTCACAAGAGAAAATGAAGGCAAACAAGAGCTATGTGGGGCCACAGGACGAAATCTTGTTTGCTTTATTTGTACTTCCCTGTTATCCAATACCAATTTTGGTGTTAAAAAAACCTTGCAAGAATCTTGTTCAAGAAAACCTCTCCTCTATTCCTGTTTTGATATGGATTTCTCACTATTTCCCAGCAAAGAGAACTGCTGACTCAAAATGGGGTAACGATGGTTCAGGAGACAGAGCGCGAGCGCTGTCATCGTCCCGACT